TTGTGTTCTAGCTGGCGCAAACATTTCAGGACATCTTTGATGAGATATTGTAGAGGGGATTGATAATCAGTTGCGACGTTCTGTTACGCCATTCATAAAAGAAATTGTTACGTCATTTATAGGATTATACTCTGTTATGTTTTTTCGTTATTTCAGTGTAGCACAGAAACAATATGTGCACACCGATGCAAGAAAGGTTTAACTATCGCAGTGCGTGTGCATGTCTTTCATTAGTCCAAGGCGTTTGAGTGAACATGGCATTTTTTAACGAAAGTGTTCCCAAAATTAAAAGCATTTTGCTGCTAGTTTCCAAGCCCCTTTAAAAGATACCGGAAAAGATCACTGCGTTTTGTCCACAGGAATCCCAAGCTCACAAGTAAGAATCATTGTTGAGTAACAGAAATATTATAAGGGTTTGTGTGGGGATTTTAGTCAGTGTATTTATGCGTGGAACTTCTTACCTTGCTTCCTTGGGTATTTCTGCAGTTTATTTTTGCCGTTTCAGCAAGATTTTTGCGTGTCTTAGTAAGGCCCAAAATGCTAACAGCACACCATAAATAAAATAAGACAGGACTCATACAGCATAAGAAGTTCTCATGTATTTTTATTGGTATCAGTAAAAAATCAGTAAAGAAATCAGTAACGCGTGGCGTGTCTTAGTAAGGCCCAAAATGCTAACAGCACACCATAAATAAAATAAGACAGGACTCATACAGCATAAGAAGTTCTCATGTATTTTTATTGGTATCAGTAAAAAATCAGTAAAGAAATCAGTAACGCGTGGCGTGTCTTAGTAAGGCCCAAAATGCTAACAGCACACCATAAATAAAATAAGACAGGACTCATACAGCATAAGAAGTTCTCATGTATTTTTATTGGTATCAGTAAAAAATCAGTAAAGAAATCAGTAACGCGTGGCGTGTCTTAGTAAGGCCCAAAATGCTAACAGCACACCATAAATAAAATAAGACAGGACTCATACAGCATAAGAAGTTCTCATGTATTTTTATTGGTATCAGTAAAAAATCAGTAAAGAAATCAGTAACGCGTGGCGTAAGAGTATTACGCACGCGAAGCGCGCGGGCCTCACACGCCCGTAGGGCGACAGAAAAAAGTGTCTCTGCCCAGTCTCGCTCTCTGTTTTCAGCCTCGTTCCAGACCTTTTGTTTGACTGCTCGCGCGTACTTGAATGCACAGAAATACGGACTGTTTTGCAGTCTACGTTCTTAATGATGCCAATCAATCAACCTCTCAAAGAATCCGCCCCACCACGGCGCGCGGGACATGTTAAATTTCCATCCGATCTCCTTTGTGGCTAGATAGTTAAAGAGGTTCTCGTCTTTCTGTTGGGTCAATAGCCACTTTTTCATTGCTTGGAAGGTCTTGGCGTTGTTACTGACTATCAGATCTGGCGCGCCTCGTCGCACAACGAACTCTTTTAAGCCTCGTTTCAACTCTTCGGCTGTCACGTCCTTACAAAGCTTCAAGTGTACCGCCGTTGTACTTGCGCATGTGAACAGTGCAACGTAAGCTTTTCCAGTCTCGCTTCCAGATTTGTACAGGAGTGGCCTGTACAAATCAGCCAAGTCTACAGCCAAGTCTACCCCGGTGACGTTAAACGGTTCGGTGAATTATGTTCTGACCTTCGGTAAGGCTCAGGTGGGTGGAGCATTTAGGACTGTCACGCGGTATTTCTTGCAATAGTTACAACTACGTCGAACACTCTTAACCAGGGATCTCAGTCTTGGAACCCAATACCTCTGTCACACTTTGTTCATGGTCGCCGCCACTCCCCCATGCAAGGTTTGTACATGGTAGTGTTCGATGATGCGCCGCGCTAACGCTGAGTCTCTCGGAATGAAGATAGGAGTATAGCCCTGGATTCTTTCGTTGCACCTAATTAATCCATCTTCATCTTTGGACATTCTGACGTCAGTTTTCATGTTACATGTCTTTTGTATGATCTGAATAAAGTTGTTCTCTGCTTCCCTAATTTCAGACTTGGTGATTGGTACAACCCGTCTTGATTTTTTTCA